TAAGATATAAGCGTTAGTTTTGAATGGTTATTTCACCTCTTAAAGATTAGGCGTATATTAAAAAATATATGTCTCTTAGAGAGATTTTTGTTTAACAATATAATCCAAGGAGAATCGAATTGGTTTCAAACAATTAAAACAGAACCCTTGTAAGTTGTGCAATAATTGTACTCTCTAACGTGACGTTAAAAAAAAAAAAACTTTTCAACTCGCGAAACGCGTCGTTTCCGCCGCGCGATACACGACATGTCCGTTGTCGGATCCGTGACCGTGGCTCGGTAGTTTCTGCGATTTTCTCGTGGTGTTTTCACCATCGCCCTCACCCCATCCCGCGCGGTAGCCACTTTTTTCCAACAACGAGCGCTAAAGTTTTTATCTCGTCGGGAGATGACGTACGGGATGGCAAAACCCTCTTTTCACCGCGCGCGCGACGCCTTTTTCTATTCCTCGTAACCACCCTCTTCTTCTACTGCATCAACCAGTCGGTTTTGCGTTCCGGACAGAGAGAAGGGCGGCAACGTGGGGGTGTGAGAAAAGTGAAAAAAAAAAAGAGAGAAAAGAACATTCTCCGCGAATACATATACGTGTTGAGAGATAAAAGTTTATTACCGCGGCCTAGCAAATGCAACCACTCGTTGATACACGATGAGTACATGACGATTATTACGTTGTTCCTCTCTCTCTCTCCCTTTCTTCTCCCTTCCTTTCGATTCATCTTTTTTAACCCTCACCATTTCTTCTCGTTCTCTGTAAAATCACTTACAACGAATGTGCGGAAAATAGCAAAAGGAGGAATAGAACGATACTGCACATGGAACGTCAACTGTTATCTACGAGAAGTAACGGCTCCCTGGACGTTTACCGTGTCGATGCTCCAGGTTAAACCAATAACAGAGGATACTTGTCTGGGTCGCCGTCTATATACGAAGAAGACTTCACGGAGAAAAAAAGAGCTGCATATATGAGATTCTTACTATGAACAACTGAAGGAATTATTATTTTTAATGTTGTATTAGGAGAAAATGATTTGAAACACACGTTTAACGAAAACTTTCTAATTACGATATTTTTACTTCACACAAGCAGGAATCCTCTAATTTTCTAGAAGAATATTTGTGAAATCGGTTTCATCAACTAATACAGTTGAATATGAGTGAGAAAATAAATGTTTCGTTTCAACGTTATTTAAGTAATTATTAATTAAATGTCAATTATATCCCGCATTACAGCTGTATATTTTATAAGATTTTCAAAATAAATGTAAAAAGCACATCTATCAAAAAACATCCTATTAGATATCTGACTCTTGCAATTGTATTCTGGACATTTTTTTTATTAAACAATAGCGAGGACGATCTTTTCACAGTAACTTTTTGAACAATTTTAACCGTTAAATAGTTCTCTATGAAAACATGAAAGAAAAACACATTATTCTGGACGCTTGTAATGCTTTACTGCTCATACAAATAAACGATAAGTTATCAGAAGCGTTCTCTGTGTAATTTTACCTTGCGTTTCCCCTTTTCGTAATTCCAGCGCTTAATTATTTTTCAGAATTTCCACACTGCCGCAATTCATCTCGTCATAAAATCCCAGATCCAGCAGATAGTTGTTCGACGCGAAAGACTCCGCTCGCGCTTTGTCGCTTATCCGTCGAGATCGAGAATATCGCTGATAGGATCATATAACCGTAGCGAAACTCGCCCCGTTTTACATGCAACGACATTCGACTCGGTTCGATTACTCACGTTCATTTGATAAAATCAGATTTTGTAAGTGCATCGTCAAATCCGCTGAGCGAAAATTCTCGTCACGCCAATGAATTGAAGCACGAAGAAAATACAGGAGCACGATCTCTCCCAGTCTACGGATAGATATAAAAAGTTCATTACTCGTGACTAGGAAAACGCGAAAGCGCGTGAATATACTGAAGAAAAAGAACCGGTGAAACTCTTCCTACTACGCCTGCAGTTAAACAACATGACTCAATTACATCGTACAATTTTTGTGAATTTTCATTGCGCTATCATGAAAAATATTGTATCAAAAATAAAAATAGCACGTAAATGTAATCGAAGTAATTAAAACGGTGTATAAAATGCTCTCGTTAAAAATTGGCATTGTACAAAGCTATTTATAAGTTAAATGTACACGTGCAAGTTACATAATCAATAATAACACATAAATATTTTTCAATTAAACGCGTATAATCCTAAGTATAAGTGATGTAATTTATTCGGTAATGCAATTTATTTTAATTCTTGCAGTGCACAAATAACCCAATTAAAATTTAATATTATTTAATATTATTTCAAATATATATATTTTACAATTATGCCTATAATTTATATATTTACTACTAAAATTATTTTTTATATGGCACCACTTTCAACTCGAGTAGTTACGCAATTGTTATACCGTGGCAATTTAATGTCGTAACTGATGTTTTACATACTACAAATGCAAATCGCTCGAATGCTGAGAACCTTGACAGAGATCTGGTCTTGACGAGAGAACCTATGCGGTCAGCATATGAGTAGGAAATATTTTATATTACGCTACGTTTACATATACCGATATAGACACGGTTACGTCGTTCGCATGATATTTCAAAGCTGTATATTACGGCGACGTTTTTACATTTTAAATGTGATGTAACTGAAAAGTTGGATAAAAATCCGTATGATCTGGTAGAAGATAGAAGATGACTTATCCAAAGTTGGAACTCATTTGTGATGTAATAAGATTTCAAGTTAAGGAAAAAGTGTTCTTTCTAATAAAGATGTAAAAATAATCAATAAACTGTTAAAAATAACAAAAAAACATCTAGTTTATTAAATTCAATTATTTTTTAATGTCTAGGTTTTCCCTGATTTATTATATCGGGATATTAACTTTCCACAGATTCGATTTTTTAAATTATGAATTCTGGTAAACAAATTTAAATTTATTAAAAAAGTAAAATACAATTCAACATTTACGATATTAAAAATTTTTAAAAGCTTTCACGAGTAAGATTTTTTTAAATTTTTATACAATTCGAAAAAATATAAAAATCTGTACTATAAAGTTCGAAGGAATTACGGACAAAGAGTGAAAATTTCACATTATCGACGGAGGGTTAATCGAATTGAAAAATTATAAATGGAGATAAGCAGATAAGTCAACTAATTTTTATTAAGAGAAAAGGAATCAATTATGGATTACTGAACGAATCCTATTATATGCAAATTCTAGGACATATCGTATATATCGTATATATTCGTATATATCGGTCAACGTGCTAACATATTTGCAGCCACGTATTCAGCAATATAAACGAGTACTTAGCGTGCAATCGGGCTGTATAAACGACTGTTTAGCGTGCGATGTTTCTGTCACGTTCGCCATTGCCTGACCATGAGCGATGCACAACTCCAGGATACACAGTATAATATTTATCAACTACCTTATCAGTGGTAAACCGACCACACTTCCCGTATCCAGTCATAGACAACGGCGTGTAAAGTTGCGCAAAACGAAACTGCAGTAAAACACGTTAGGTACCAATCACTACTTTTTCTCTGTCTGTTACTCTGAAGTAATCAGAGTCGCACTTGTTAAGCACCGATCAACACGATACTGTCGATACACAAAGTAGTTACATTATACATTACATCTTTTCAAACTTTACCAATCAAAGTTTCATCGAACTACGTCTTAAAACTAATTTTTCTACAGCAAAGTATAAGCTACGAATATTTTAAATGTTTATAAGATATTAGACAGGGAGGGTATTAATGTACTTTCGGATACTAATCTACTTTCCTTCAATCGCTTTTAACAGATTAATAATCTTTCAAAATCTTCTTTTAAAAAAACTGAAAAATTTAAATCTGAAAAAATCTAAGTTTAAAAAATTCAAGGTTTTTCATTAATCAATTTCTAGAGAGCACTAACTGAAATAATATATCTTACATCGTAAAATGTGAGGAATAAATTGAGTCTTGGTTATAAAAGTTAATCGTGAGTTGTAAAACTTGGTCTTAATCATATAATTATAATTTATTAAATTGTATTAATCTGCTTTAATGTAATAAGTGACAAGATGTAATATAATAATTCTGTAGGTAATATTCCTACAAGTGAAGGAGGAGGCTTGTAAATTAAAAGAGATCTTAATTCATGACTCTCACTCGCTCACATGTATTATATTATTATCATTCTAAACTGTGAAGAACATACGTCGAATAGTCATTTCTGATACGAATGACAACGTGAAGAACCCTCCGGCAGTGCCACCATCCAATCTGTCTCGTTAGATTGAGTTCTCTGCCTTCCTCTTTCCCCTAACCTGTTCGACATGATCGACACCCTTTCCCGGTCTATGATCTCATACCACGACAGTGCAGCATCCGCCCGTAACGGAGCATCTAATCTCATCATCAACGCCAGAACGGATAAACGTCAATACATGATTCGATGTGAAGAAGGACGAATGCGCGTTGCCAAAAGCAAACTGGTCCCATGGTAATCTTGTAAAGTGCAAGGATACTCAAGGAATTCAAAACTGCACTCGAGAGAATTCAGAACATCGCTCTACAGAGAATCCAGTTTTTTAAGCTACTTGAGAATTCCTTTATAATTCAATTCGATAATAATGTTAAAATTAATTAATAATTAATTAATAATTTTTTCAATATTTAAAAAATCTTATGAAACAAAAATTGAATTTGAATAGATATTTACTGTGTGTATATTTAAAAAAAAAGAGAGAGAATATAAAATTTAAAATGGAGAAAAACATATAAACTGTTTCACTGCTTCAAATTTTTATCCTCTATATCGTACGTTTCCACCTGTTACAAAAATTTAACAAAAATTATTGAATTTATAATATTTAAAATTATTCATAACGTGTTCTTCGCAGTTCTGTTTATAGCTTCAACAGAAAAACTCTTTAAAGCGATACTCTCAATGTCGTTTCTTCTTTACGTAAAAAAAACAGCTGATGCACTCACCTGTCCATGATTGTCGAAGCCGTGTTCCTGGGCGATCTCGTCGGCAGTCTCCGATCCGCTGGGTACGTAAACGGCGAACTGATTCGAATAGATCGACACTGGTCGCGACCGCGGTCTTGGTTCAGATCTCGCACCAGCCAGCAGCGTGCACACAATCAACAACGTCACCCTGAAGATCATGTCGTCGACTGCGAATGACGACGACGAGTCCTACGATTATCCGGGACGGTATATTCCGGCACTGAAAAACGCACGACGTTGCGATCGACGCGATATCTCGGATAAAAAGATACGTATTATGCACAACGGAATTTTCGCGTAATCTCACGATTGAGCGGAATGCGCGTGTGACTCTTCGCGAGTCGATTTCAATGCTCGACGGAACTCGCGAGTCTCAACATCGGATCCGCGCTGCACTTCCTTCGAGAAAACGCGGTCCGGAACGGCAACAAGAATGAGGGACAACGTTGCTGACGGATGAAGTCGTCTCACAGTGAAAACGAGACGGCACTGCGCCGCGAGTCGTCGTCGTCGTCGTCGTCGTCGTCGTCGTCGTCGTCGTTGGCGAGAGACGTCAGGTCCGGGTGGGCTGGTCTTACCCTGCAACACAAAGACAAGGAAAACCGCAGGTTATAGCGTTCAGTGTGCATTCGTGTCACGCGCGCCGAGTCGGAAGGACGCGGTGGGAATTCTTGCGGGCTCGAGCGTTGTGATATTAATTGTCACCGAGGGGGGAGTTCGTTTTTCCTGCTTCTTGACGTGCGCGTCGCGGATTTGCATTACAATGTTTCGCCATGGGCGTGCACGCGTCCGCGCGAATGTTTGCAAACTTCCTTCCTCTTTCTGCTCCTCTCGCGTGTTCGTCCTCCATCTCTTCTTCTCTATTTCTCGTTCGTCGGAAAAACAAATAAATAGACAGAGAGAAAGAGAGAGAGAGAGAGAAACCGAGAGCTCATGGCACGTATTATTTAATAACCGAATCTTTTGTTTGCAAAACAGTGACGTACGGTGATGCAATTGTTTTGCAAATAACCGAGTGCGTAATACCGGTTCGACACACTTACCCATTTAGCGCGACGCGCAAATAAACGATTATATCGCAACGAAACGCATTGGCGCGATGGGATGATTATGATGATGTTGGTGCGACCATCACGACAAAATACAACTAAACTTGCATAAGCGCATTCGCGGTAATCCTCGGTTAACCGCTTAATGGATGGGATTACAATGACAGATTCCATCGTTCATTTTCCCTATTCACAGGTATATAATAAATAATATGTTCGATACCTATTTTAGTCATTTAAATTATTTGGATTAATGTTACGACAAACAGAAAATCCGTGTTTTCTTTTTTAGAAAAAATTTATCAGAATTATAAAAGCCAGCACGCGCGGCATCCAAGAAACACTCAAGTTCGCGATATTTCGGTTTAAATCTAAAAATGATTTCTCAAACTCGTGACGGGAAAATTGGCCGTTACGCGATTGAATTGAATTCGGCAAGAATAAGGAAGGGAATTAGAGTCGAACTTGCTGAAGAGCGTGGCAAAAGCTTCCGATGATCAAATTTCGATTGTGAACTATACGATCGACTATATACGTATCTATATAGTCACTGTTAAAGTTCGGCAAGTAACTGTAGACTAGTAAGGCAAAAGGAGAAGTCTGTTTCCACAGCACTGTCGATAGTTACGACGAAACGAGCGAAAGGCCGAACATGAGTTTGAAGTTAATCGGACTCTCTCACGAAACCGTTAACGTTCGTAATGATTCAGGAAATAGACTAAAGTAGCTGACGGATACGATTTATTCGCCTTGTAATTAAAAAAATAAAAGACGTTTCAGTAAGTTAAAAGTAAATAATTTTAAAACTAATTTTAAAAACATGTAAAAATTAAATAAAAATTCCTATCTATAAATTAAACACAGTTTAATAATAAGATTTTGCAATAAATATTAATTGCAGCTACAACTTAAACACAATTTAGAATTTGTGATAAAATTTTACATATCTGTAATTTCACGTACAATAAAATATATGAAAAGCATATTTAAAGCCTCAGAAACGCGCACAATAAATGTACAAATGTACATGTACGCACTATATCAAAATGCAAAATACGATATATTATATATAAAATTATACAAATAGAATTTTGAATCTCCCAACGCAAAATATAGATTGTAAAATGAGTCTAACAAAGATAATAGTATAACAAAAGAATAATATTACATCAATGTGCGACAATTGGTGCAGTCCACTTGCGCTATACATAAATGCTTCGAAGCATTTGACTGACAATCAGAAAAAAAGAATTTTACTAATCCACCAATCAAAAAATGCTTCAAAGCATTCAAAGCATCAAATGGACAGCAGACCGATATAATTTATTAGTTAATCACAAAAAAATTTAAATATCATTTAATCGCTTAATAGAAATTAATTTATACATCATATATACATTTATTATACTTATTTATTTATAAGCAAATGCTTATTCGCATGCATCATAACAATAATATTCACCCGATAGATTAATATCCAGTACTCGTTGTAGAATTCATGAATTGAATAAAAACTCGGAATCATTCCCCATTTTAAATTCGTTTATAGGAGTTTGTGAAAACAAAACGTGAACTGTCGAAAAAGCAAATTCTCATAGTCGAGTATAAAGCGACTAAAGTAGAACATCTACTGAATTAGTTTCCTTATGGAAACACATCTCCCAAAAGATCAGTTCTCCACTTGTATAGGGTAATTCTGCAGCCGCGAGCGGAATAGCGAAACGCCTTGACAAATAGTGTCACATTATCGCGTCTTGTGCCATCTTATCGTTCGCCGACTGTCCTCAGTGGTTCCAAAGTGAGTAATACAGTGAACGAACACGAACAGGACGAACATTCGCGTTTATACTCTCGTGCCACACGGCCGTTCACCTGAACTCATTAAAGCCCGAACGTAAAACGAGACGATCCTTTGACGCGGACCGACGTCAGACATCTTGCTTTGATAATAAATGAAATGGCTATTGCCACTGGGAAATGTTACACGTAACGTCGAAATAAATCGGACATTGAATTAAATAGCAATTCATCGGGAATATTGGAGAGACTACGAGCTAGTTTATTTAACATATGAATATTTAGGCGATATATACGGCGATATGCGCGTTCACTCGACGAATATTCGCCGAGAGCAGCATCACGCGAATGTACATCGAGGTGAAAATATTGTAATTGCGCGCGGGACATAATAAAATTCGTCGCGGAAACGTGACACATTTTGATTTATGAAATATCCATGAACGAATGATAAACAGATGCATATATTATTCGATGTTGACTTTGGATAAACAATAATTAAAACGATTCGAAATTTTTATTATCCACATAAGAAAGAAAGAATGGAATGCGCAAATACAAAAGTGTGTTTGTTGAACTGTCTTTAAAAAAATTTTGTTAACCTTGGCGAAATTTAAAATAATATTTTCTAAAGAGTGAATCGGTGTATTATTACTGGCTTCAGTTGCTTATAACTTATAACTTTCAGCGAATATTTTAGTAATAATATACTGATTCACTTTTAAAAATTATGATTTCTGCAGATTGAAATGAATTTACTGAAAAACTATAAATAAGTATTCACTGATGATTACATCAGTTATAAATGTACACTTGAAGTTACTGATTCATTTTTAGAGAGTACGTGAGAAATGTTGAAAATATAAAAAATATGACGTACATTAGCGGAAAGTTGAGGAACTGGCATTTTCAGTCGAGATATGTCATGAAGTTTACATAACAACATAACGCTGACTTGCTATTCGTGTTGTTCATCTTGTATCATCTTCACGTGCTTCACTCTCATGTACGTCGATAAAGTAGCTCGACAAACTTTCATAAATTTAACGAACCGAATTTCAAGACATAAATGTTTGTTATAGCCGGAGCACATGATATTTGAACAAGTTTGCGACCAACTTCGATGACGTCAAGTCTTGATATACCATTTTTAGCACATGAAACACTGCATCAGAAAAGTCTTTCGCGCACATGTCTTGTCTATATATAAGTCGTATGTGTAAGATCTACACGTTATATAAGTAGCACAAAATGTGATAGATACAAGAAGTAAAAAGATTTTCATTAAAGCGCTTATTAATTCAAAAACGAAGAAAAGAAAATGAAACTGCTGCTTTAAGAAAAAAAAAAATCTCATACATACATTCGATACATTCGATACATTCGATACATTCGATTGATTATTGGAATTATACGGATGATTAATTAAAAACTTTCTCCAGCTTATCTCTCAGATTTTTAAGCTGGTAACTTGTTCTTAAGTTCGATTGTTAATTTAAAAAACTTCAACTAAACTTAAATTTACTTTCTTAGTTCGGTAATTCAAGAGGACGATAACCCATTGAGTATTTAATAAATGTTAATTAAACGAAAAATTCTACGCACGCGTTGCAAACAGAAAATGCTGAGCACGTGTACGTATATTAGATACAAAGAATGCCAGTCGAGCCAAACGCGATTCATGATTACGGGAGCGGAACGCGAGAGCGTCTTTCTGTCATGTGCTATTTAAATTGCAAGAACCACCTGCACGACACCACCGTCCGCAATTAAAGGCTCCACGTACTTTGGTCGCCACCGGAGAAGAATATAAACTCATCCAGACAAAACTTCGGCTCGCTCGTTCTCGTGTTAATGTCCGCAGAAGTTAAATCCCGAGTGAATACAGGTCAGCAATAAAGCGTTTCGTGGTGAAGAAACTGCGTTTGTCGAGAAAATACAGTCCAGCGAAACCGACGCGGGATTCTTGCCCGAAAGCAGGATCGCTCAGTTGTTAACGCATTTCGCGATATCGCCCCATTTCGTGTACGAGATACGCGATGTTAACAATTTACAAGAGAATATTTAATTTGGCAACCGGACAATAAACAGGAGCACAAACGCGATGGCGATGTACATCGCGAGAACAAAAATTAATACAACATTATAAGGAGCTGTTTGTTTCAACTGGTGGGAAAATCTCGGTATTCGTGTAAATTTATTGTACCGGAAATGAAAGAGATTGCATATCACGGGTGTAACATAATACTTGCGTTCAATATATTTTGCAACAAGCACATTGTTCGCGCTACGTGTAGCGTAAACTTTGAACGATTGTGTAAATACTGAGGCATTATTAATATATAAAAAAAAAAATAAAATCTACGAAATTACATAACGCGCAAGTAAATTTCCATAGAAATATGTGTCATAAATGTGTCCCTGTTATGGACAAGATATTACGAAGTAATATTGCATATAAAGAAGAAAATAATTAAAAGCTTTCAGAAATTCTTTAAAATTACTTTACCTCTAATATTTAAAGATACTTTAAAGCTCAGTAAAGATAGATTTAATAGTACTCGGACTGCAACAATTGCTCGCCGAGTGCAAAGAGTTAAAAGAAGCGCGTTCGCTTGCATCCAGAAAGTCGAGGGGAACGACAATGTCGAAACGGAAAATCGTGGCGTTTCCTAGCAATTAAGCGTTCGTAATCTCCCGGTACTCCGGTGAATTCTCAAGTCGATTGTAAAA